TCCCTACTGTGTAAGTTTGTCCCAGTGAGTCAGTTGGTTCACTGTGCTGACAAAGGCTCACATCCCAGAGTTGCACATTATAAATCAGATCTGACTTCAGAAATAACACCAAATAAGAAATAACAATGTGAATATATTGTGCATTGCTTTCCTGCAATATGCAATTTTAAAGAAGACCTAGCTCTGGCAATAGACAAGTCACTGTGTGTAATGACTCTAATGAACCTGCCAATCTATGCAACTTATGTCTATGGTATGGCAGGGGTCTGTGTCAGACAAAACGCATGTGTGGGGCTGGGGCCCCCTGGGCTGGATTCCCAGGCGGTAGCTTCACAGCGCTCTGGATCTCAGACTGTCACTTTGGGAAGGTTACCCCACAGCTAATCCTGTCTAATCCCTTCCATGGTCAAAGGCTCAGCCCGCCATCCATCCATCTATCTATCCAGCTAGCCAGCCAGCCAGACCATGCTGCTTCACCCATCGTTCCCTGCCTTCCACTGTCTCCACTCTTGCCCCCATGATCACAGCCTGCCCAGGTTCTTCAGCCTACCTCATCCCTTTTTCCAGTTGTCTGCCATCCTCCTTCAGCTGGCTAGACAATAAGCCTTGGTCCAATGTCCCAGTACCCAGACTGGTAATCTGTTTCTAATTCCCCCTACCTCTACTTAACCCACTGCATGAACAAACACGCTTCGCCACTGATCTGAATTCACTCAGCATCTTCTTCCTCCCTCTTCACTGCCTCATGCTAGTACAACCTTGCACAATTAAGACTGTCAGGGCAATCAATCAATTCAGCAAGTGGAACTTTGAGGTAAGCCAGTTTGCAAACAAAAATACACTCCGACTATTCATCCAAACACATAAGAAAAAAACTTTACACACAATTTAAATCTCCTTCTCCTGAACCAGTGTATCATGTTCTCTCCTCAGCATGTTAGGTCTAAACACCTCACTTCAATAACAGCCATATTCATCAGATGTTTATTGGTATTCATTGATTATTATACATGTGCTATATTCAGACAGTTTGCTCGTTGCCTGTGCCTTCCTCACCACCTCACCTTGATGAATAAAGCTTTAGTAAAGCAGGTAAGCACCCAGCAGGTGAGAAACTCCGCATCACCAGTCTTTCTCCTCTTCATTCAAACATGCCAGTTGACCTTCCTGTCCTCTGCCCTCTTGTCTTTAATCCTAACATCCTCTGTGGTCATTACAAGGATAAACAGCTACACATCACCCCTGTATTCTGTCTGACTAACTTAAATCAGCTCTCTCTGCTTCAGCCAAGACATTTGACCGTCTGCCTTCGTCATCATTTTCTCCTTTATTCTGAGCACAAATCGTTCAGCCTTTCACCATCTTCTGTTTCCACTGAGTGCAGAACAAATACCGTAACTGCTAAAATAACATACATTAATTTTATATAACTCTTTAAGACGGCAGGAAATGCATGTAGAAATGAATAACAAGTAGGAATGCTGGTTTTCATGTTTGGCCCATCTTAACTTTAAGGTGTGATCATTTTGACAATCCATAAGTGAGCCAATTTGATTTGGTTAAACTTTAAATTTTTGTTACATATTTCAGCTGTCTTTCCTCACATACTGTGGCATTAGACCTGGTGACACCTCAGTCCTCTATGCTGGTCCCTCCCTTTCTCTCATTCTTCCATCTGCTTCTCCGCTCCCTGTCGCCCCTTTGATGAAGGGATTGAGTTTCATGTTCTCCTTTTATCCCAGGGTAATCATAAGCCCAGATCATAACTCATACATTGCCTTCTGATTCTAATCTGCTGCACTTTGCCTTTCACAATGGGACACACAGGCAACAATGACCTAAGCCTTGCAGTTTCTCTGTACGGGTCAGACGCACACACACGTGTACTGTAACAGAACTTAAAGTCAACAGGTGTTTAGGAACACAGGCAAATATCACTATTGCTACTGGCTGCTTCAACCTCTACTGAGAGAAGGGGAAGTGTTCAGAAAGCACACAGCATTTATCTGAAAGTGAGCTACGATGAGGCAGATTGTAAGTACCCCCCTTTTCCTTCTCTGAATCATCTCATCCATCTTAATTCACAACAAATCCAGGACTGCTACTCTGTCTCAATTCACAAACCTAAAAGCCAATTTCAGAGGTAAACTAAGCAAACGTCTACATTTCTGAGCCTTGGCAGGTGATCTAGATGAGAGCGTGTCAACCAGAATAGGGTGAGAGGAGAAACTGCCCTCCAAAGTGGAGTAAACTAGCACGCCAGATGGGACTGGGTCACTAAGACTGCTTCAAAATGAATGTGTATGGACCAAAGTGGCAGGAAATGTAAATGTAAAGCGGGTTCAGGTAGCAGGAACACTTGATCAGCTATCTAACCATCCAGCAAATTGTCAGCTTCTTAAACACCGGCTGACAGGGAAGCTGAATGGAATGGACAGACAAAACAAGCTGGAGGTGGGGGAGGAGAGTAGGATAAAAAGGGAAGGGCAGGAAGATGAGGAGCAGAGGAAAACAGAGGGAAGGAAATTGGAATAAGGAAATAGGGGAAAAGATGGGGAGCTGGTGAGGGACATTCTGTTAGGATGGTTTGCCTTGAAACAGTTGGTACTGAAGCATACATGTGCGTGGATGTGGGTTTGGTGTGTGTGTATAACTTGTTGAGCAGTTTGAATAAGCTCATGTGATGTGGCCTAGCATGATATTCAAATATAGTCTCATTGGCATGCTTGATAACACACACTTAATGCTTGACCTAACATTGTTGCTGTATTATGCCACCTCTTCAAGGGTGGCAGAGGCTGTTCGTATTAACCATGCTAGCGGCATGGCTCTAGGGGCGGAAATGATGATCTGCTGGTAGGTCAGTCTGCCACTTTGGTTCAGACTTGACGTATCTCCACAACTACCAGATGGAGTGTTATCAAATTACAGACAAAAAAATACAGATAAGCATGGTGCCCAGAAGATGGATCTGCTGGTCACTCAACAGCTGCACAAGAGCACTGGGGACTAAACACTCTTGCTCAAAGGCAACTTTTACTTTCCATATTCTGCAGACGTGGAGATCAAACTACTGACCTTCCATTTAGCTATAACCAGCCGTAATTTCCTAATCTGTTCCTGCATTAACACCTGTTGATGCTGCTTATAAAATAATATTCAAAACTATTAGCACTGTCCAGTCAAATCATTTGTAAGGGATCCTTTCTGCAAAAATCCTGTGATGAATCTGCATTAGGGGACAGCAGGTCAGCTGGTGTCTACAAAGACCAGAGTCACGGGTGCACTCAGACATGTCAGACAATACCAAGTAACAGTACCCCTCCTTCCCTCACACTAGTACATGTTCAAAAACCTGACAACTCTGCTATGAGGCCTGGTAAGTATCAGAAGTCTGAGTTACATACCGAACCATGAGTTTACTGTAACAATAATCACACATGAAAGCTGTGCTTCATGTCATTTAGCTATTCAGCTACACAGAAGTCATTTTTATAAAGTTGGCAGTGGAGCTAATTTTCAGACTCTCTGTTTTAGCTCAAACAGATATGAGATGATGAGGCAACTTGAGCAGATAAGAAAGAGGATGTGGATATGTGATGAGAGGGGAGAGGACGGCTGCCTCTGGGCAGGATAGAAAGGGAGCAGTTGGAAAGACACTGGAGATGAGGGCCCTCACTTTAAAACCAAAGGCTGGATCAAAGTGCTGGCTGACGTCTAGCCTCCTAAACACACTGATTCTCTTTCTCTCTCTCAGAAAAAGAGTCAAATGAGATGAAACAACAGCACACTACAAAGGCTAAACTGAGACAGAACTCTGCTGCAACTAGTTGTGTCTGACCCTGTGTGTGCATGTGAGTGTGTGACATCTAATCTGGTGGGAACTGATGGGAAAGGCCAGAGAAATATCCAGGTTAGTCCCATGTGTGCCCTGGTTCAAAGTCTACATAGAGCTGCACTTTGGTATCTATTATTGTGACCAATGTATTTGTTATAACTTACATTTAAACTTTTTCTTGGGATCCAAAGGGTAAAACTCTAAAACAACACATTTAGATTCCAAAAATATGCATTATCTTTTAACAGTAGTCAGCAGATAAAATGGGAACATTTTAAAATAACTAGAACATAATAATCATCAAAGACACTCATATACATAAAGAACTGCCAAAGCACATACAAACTAGAATTCAGTGTCTACAGCTGAACCTACAGGTGAGATGAGTTGAGAGCTACTGTATGAAGACCTACACTGACACCTGCTGGTGAGCAAGTATTCAGCATGTCTCGTACAGAGGTAATCAGACTGAATATAGAAAAAAAATGTGTAAAATAGCCACTCAAAGAACTTGCATGGAGCATGCAGACCAGGTAGTAGCCATATCTAAAAAAAACAATCTAGACGACAGAAAGAGAACGGGATGTGAATTGTTAACTGTAAGATCATACAATCCCAATAATCACCAGAGGAGGAGATAATTGTGAAGGAGATGTGTAATTTCAAACATTATAATTTCAGATCGTTGACAAAGTCAAACAGATTTTTCAGCTAATAACTAATGTGGAAATTAAATACAGATTTCTACAGATGTAGAAAAAGGGACTGATTCACCACTAAGTCAAGTTTATGCATGTTTGGAGCAGAACACCGCATCACAATGTGATCAGCAGGTTCTACAGGGCTTCAACAGTCATCAGACTCTATGTGATACTTATAAGTCTAATGACTGACCTTTGGCACGTGTGGATTGAATTCAACAGCTCTGTGTATGGCCTCCACAGCGTTCATTTCTGCTGTGCTTAGCCCCCGCCTTGATGCTGCCTCTGGAGAGAACCTGCAGCAAAACACCTCATATGAAACACTGTTCAACACATTCTGCTGTTACTACTGGTGATGCTTAACTGTGCAAGATTCAGTACTAGCAGATATTTGAAACATTATGAGTCAAAAGGAAACATACTTATCTGATACAGCCCGTGCTTTCAACAGTGCTGATGTGTAGCATATAGTGGCTGATTTTGGCAAGCTGATGTCTACAATGGCAGAAAGAAACTAGGGTCATGAAACATAAGCCATACAGTACAGTTTAGGACACATTTATTGAAACTGAAGTGTGATGATGGAAATGTTAAATGTTTATTTGATTGTCTTACCATCATATTTGGCAAGAACTGCTTGGACATCAGCATAAGCCTGAAGCTCTAACAGTGCCTCCAGGAGGTTTTCATGTATATTTAACATTCCTAACAGTGGGAACTCCTTCATTAGCTGTAAATAGATAAATAAATAATAAAGCACTGTGCATACCATTATAGTATTTGTTAATACTATCACTCAATTAAGTACAGTAAGCATGCTGACTCAGTTACTCAGTGGCATGAGTAATTTGACAAGCTGCACACTGTAGCGGTAAGTTTTACAAGGTGATATTTTGACAAAGTCCAATTTGGATTAAAGAAAACCTCACATCTCTCATCATTTTCACTGCTTCTTTAATGCGTCCCAGCTTTCGTGCACACATTGCCAGCCTGCGTTTAATGTACACTAGTAAGTTGATATCTTTTCCAGCTGTAGATGACAAAGAGAAAGAGTCATTTAATAAACAAAACACTTATTATTCATTAACTGATCCATGCATTAGCTATTCCAGTTATCCCATAGAGGGTCATAGTGGGGTTGGAGCTGATTCCAGTTGACATTGGATGAGAGACAGGATACACTCTAGTCTATCACAGGGCAGACACCCAGAGACAGACAACCATTCACACTCACATTCATACCTATGGGCAGTTTAAAGTAACCAGTCGATCTGCACATCTTTGTTTCACAAGCAGGATTAAACCTGGGTGTAGTTACTCTTAAAAACTATCTTTCTGCTACTGTGCATCAGGATTTACAATGGCTGAGTTCTTAGTGTATATTTAAATTCATTCTTACCAATAGTTAATGCTTTTTTGAAGAGGCGTTCAGCTTCTGTGATAGTTGTTGCTTCTTCCTCTGCTAGGAGAACATAGGCTGCAGCACATCTGCACACATATAAATGCAATACACAAAAAGACAGTCCATCCTTATATTATCCTTTGTGGTACACAAGAATGCAATATTTGTGTTTGAATGCACATGCAATACTTAATGCATTCAAGGCAATAATTTCACTATGAAACAACCCATAAAAAGGCCATCACATGATTATATTCACATATTTATATTATCAACTGAAGCAAGCATCACAGTCTTTTACTTTGAATACTTCCATTTTCAACGCTTTACTAGAGCAAATGCTATTTTAATGACACAGTGGTGTGTTTATGAATGCAGTATTTAAGGACATAATATGTAAGTGTGTAAGAGCAAGACTCACTCATGGTTTATTTCTATGGCCTGGTAAGCTGCTCTGATTCTGGCTTGAGGATTTCTCTCTCTCCAGGCTTTCTGCATGACTGTAATGAGATTATGAACTCGGGCTTACTACAAATATGACATTACAGTCCTGGCATAAACAATTGTGTTCATCCAAATTAAAAGTTCCACAACCAAAAAGAAAACACAGTTCCTTGTGAACATTTACTATTAAACAGAGAAATCTCCTCCATGGAAATACACTAGCAGGTTTATGACTCAACTGAGGATTTAGTCTGTATGGGTTTATAACTCACCAGCATCCTCTGGCCTCAGCTGCTGAGTGTCTCCTGTGAAGAAGGTCTGATGGTCTTGAGCAGACAGGTTCATGTCATAGTATGTTAATGGTTCCTTCCCTGTTACCCAGGTGTACCTGTAGGGCAATAAAGTAAAATAGAACCTGTTTTGCTACCATTTTATAACCTGCAGTCAATGAAATGAAACTAATTTTCTTGCATCAAAGACATGGCATGTTTAAGTAGGTATGTACCTTTATAAATAGCTTCATATTATAAACCATCCATTGTAAGCATTATTAAATGTATTCTAAACAGCTAATTATCTAAATCACACATACCTGTTGTATTCTGCTCCTCTGAACAGATTCAAAGGATTCCTCCAGACCTTGCACTCTGGCAAAGGGAAGATGTTGGTATTAGCACTAGTAGTATGATGAGTAGTATTGCTGTTACGGTTTGTGTTAAATACATATTTACCTGAAACACTGGGTCTAGGCTCTGCCTCTCCATTAACCGATGAGAACAGACCAGTTGTGGAGCTGCTCTCCACTCCTCCCAGGAGAGGACGCAGGTGGCTCACTGACACTTGTTCAATGAATGAGGTCCCATATTTACGGAAATACCACCACTCAAATATCTGTGGGGACAACAAAACGTGGTGACACGACTTACAAAAAGATAAAGCAATAATTACTCAATTATCATTCAGTGATAATAAAGACGTGATAATTCATTTTAGAAAATATGTTCATATTAATGATGTTACAACCATGAAGGGCCAATCTGTGCAATGTGTTTCATCTTATAATCACCTTGGGACAATTATTGATTCAGAGCTGAAGTTTGAAAAGGGGCACCAGTGGCTACACCGTTGGTGTCATGGTTCAGGAGTAACTCTCTTAATCAAGTTGTAAAATGGTCAAGTAAGTTGACCTGTGAGTCACAACTGAACCCAGTGTCCCTGTATACTAGACAGTTACAGCAGATGGCCAACACCATTTTAAATGGCAACCTGCACCCTCTGCTCAGCGAGTTTCAGCTTCTCCCTTCTCTGTGTAGAGGCTTTTAGTCCCATGGTGTAAAACTAGGCATTATAAAAACTCCTTTGCTCCCATTGCTATCACATTTCTAAACAAGCTGTAGTAATGTTCCAATATCTTTTATGATGGGATTTAGTCTCTTATGTTCTATTTTTTACTAATTATTTTTTGGATTTATTTTTGATCAGTATTGAAGCCTTTTTACAATTTACAATCTGACCGTTCTATTATTAAATTACTTTAATTTTCATTGTACTTCTTGTTGACATACAAAAATTAAGGCGATAACTCACAAGGATTAGTCCAGATATGAGAGAGGAGGTTCCAGTGAGAGCCACATAGAATTTCGGAGTCAGTGTATTTAAAAACACTGAAGCTGAAAGATGAAGAACAGATTAGTGCTATCAGTGCAGCCTGAGATACGAAAGGTTGGTCTCTTCTGTTGTGATCATATAAAAGAAAATGGTTAACAGCTGTAATACCAACAGAACAAAATTGGTCGAAGGTTGTCTACAACAGAGAATCTCATAGATCAAGCCCACAGCTGCAAACTTGGTAACGCGTCAATAAACTACTAACTAATCTCAGCTAAAACTGGCACATGGTCGTTAAACAATAGTGCATTTAGTTAATGGCGATAGATTTCTAAATACTCGATATAAATCTAACCTAACAGTCGCCTCTATTTGTGTCTGAAACAATCCGATAATCAGCTGTCAAAGTACCAGACCTCTCTTGCTGCCAACTAAAGCAAGATACCCGAAGGCTAAGAATAGCTAGCTAGCTGCTGCATTAATTCACCTGAGGTAAGAGTTTCCTGCAGTTTCAGCGGGCTCCACAGGACATATATCATGACCAGCACCATGCCGAACCAAATGAAGCACACGTAAGTCCATGACCAAGAGAGCCAAGACTTTAATTTCTCAGTAAAGCCAAGAGATTGAGGATTACTGCCAGTGGCTTCCTCCATGTTTTTCCGGATGTCTGTAAACAGATGAGTCACGTGACCACGAAGCAAGAAGACTTCTATTTTGAAATTGCTTAGAAATGCATTTCCGGACAAATCTAAAATATTTTAGAAAATATTTATATTGTGGTGCACCCGGTGGTGTGTGTTCAGTGTGCGTAGTAAGTCGTTTTACTTTTGATACTTTACGTACTTTGCTGGTGTTTCTGTAGGCTACTTTTACCATCGAATGCGAGAGTTTTTGTTGTTGCTTTACTTAAGTGAGGGATCTGAATAGCTTCCTCCATCAGTCCACTGTTTACTAGGGCCTCAGCTAAGAATTATTTACATTATTGTTTATGATTATGATTAATTATTTGATTAATCAAGTAAATGCTTTTTTTATCACCACTGCACCACAGTCATATTTTTTTTTGTTTTATTTACACAATAAAATATTCATATTACTGTGATTAAAAGAGAGAGGGGGGATCCTCACACCCGAGAAGCTGTAATCACGATGTCTGGCATTTTTTGACTCATTGAGTACAACAATAATTACATGACTATTCAAGCAATTATTTCATCGCTATTTAATATAATAGCTTATAATAATAATGATATATATTTTAAAGAACATTTATTTCTTTTACTCTGAGATTTGAGTGACAGGGTTCGTAATGATTTATTGCCCACAGAGTAATCCTGGAGGAGCATGCTAAAATGAAATTTCAACAAGTAAATCAACCTTATTTGTCCATCCAGCCAACCTTATTTATATGAAATATTAATGTAATACACACCAAGTAATATTTGAAAGCAGTATTTGTCTTTGCTTAGAGCAAAGCACAAGCTTGATAGATGTGGACCTAATGCTCGGGGATATTTTCTGACATTCATGGCCTTAGCCATAAATGAGGGAAAACACAGGCAGAAACAGCTCTGCCCACTGTAGCATGTACTTCTATTTATGTCCAATAAGTGGGGCCCTTACATCATAAAACCATTTGCTTCTGTTGCCATCTGCTAACTGCAGGTGGTGACAACATTCAGTTTTGTTTACTTCCTTGTAGTCTCTGAATTCATTACAATTCATTACAATTTTAGAAATTCACCTTTTCAGGCATGTAAATGTATTATAATTTGAGCTCATAATTTATACAAATTAATCACCAAACATTTCTTCAGGCTTTATCTAAGGCTGAGGGTTGGATCCAAATGGTTTGGCTTTATTCAAAGTCCCAATCATCACATATTCACACTGTTTTATTCCCATGATTTACATACCAACAGAAGTATATATTTGTCAGAAATAAACAATTCAACAAGACCGTTGCAAGAAAGGTATAAGTGTATTTTTGGATGCATTCAGCCCACAGCAGTTCTCACCTTATGTGAGTGACTCACATCTCCTAACAGTGCAGGAATAAATGTGATTTGTTGGAGTGTATTCTAGATGGAGGTTAGAGTCATTGAATGACAGAGAGCCAGATTTGGTCCCGCTCACACATGCCCTTGGGTGTTTTCTGCCTGATGCTGATGGACAAGCACACGCAGGGTTAAAGGCCTGTCATATAAATCAGGTACAATCACTTTAGAGGTGAAAACATGCATGATGCCACTGACAGGGAGGAAGAGAGGGAAAAGAAAAGAATTTTAAAAAGGAGAGAAAAGGGAACAACACAGGTTTGTAGACATTATCTAGAGTTTATAGCACGACCTGCATATCTGACTGTATTTCCAGACGAAAGAACATTTCCAAATGACCTCAGTTCAGTGACTCATTCTTTGATAAAACATACATGTAGCTTCCATGAATATACCAGCTTGAAAACCTTATCTTCTCTTGTATTTACACTGCACTACTTATAGCAGTTAAATATCAACACAAGTCAGATGCACGTGAGACAAATGTTCACTTTTGCACACAGTAAATTTCTAATATAAAACACAACATTAATATAAAACTTGTGAACACTGGACAGAAGTGTGATATGACCTGTAAACAAATGGTCAGCCATTGCCCAACCATGCAGAAGCAATAAAGCTCATCATTCTGTAGTCACATGCATATTTAAGGGTCATTTACAATTTCATGTCTGGTATCCATCCAGCCATTCTGGACTTCATGTTCAGTTGGTGTAGTTTCTCTTTCCTTTTCTCTCCCCAAAGCTTTTAAGTCTTCTAATCATACATAATTAATCATGGTTTTCACTAAATTGCACTGCATTTTTCACTCTCATCATTACTTAAGAGGCTTGCCCCTTAAGACATGAAAATATACAGTGTTCTGTTGATCATATTGTTCACAAAGCCAGCAGTTTAAACAAATGAGTATTTATAAAAACAACAAAAAAAACCTCCAAAAACATGTATTAATATTTTAGGTTAACGACATAGTTTCTTTACTTCACATAAAAGTGTTAATTGCATCCTCTTGATGTCAGTGAAGCATTTTAGTGCGATCTTAGCAGAGATTTGGACACAATCTAATTTTAGTGAGTAATAAAGTTTGCTTTAAATACACCAGTGCACAGTATTGTGCACTGGTGTATTGTGCACTGGTCGTGTGTCAGCTCTGCATTTGGTGGTCCCTGAGGATGGAAAACTTCTTATTTTATGAAACTGGTTCTTGTCTCCCACACTGCTTTCTCTTTGTGAGTTTATATTAGAGTCTGAACAAGGGGACTCTCCCTCTACAACTCATACCGTTTGACCACATCTGAAAGCAATGGCGCCACAGAAAAATGACTTCCTCCATAACAGGGTCAGGGACCAACATTTCAACTGTATTTTCTTTAAACTAATGAGGACAAGTGGACACAAAACAACTGCAAATGCTGATTTTACATTAGAGTAATGACTAATTTACAGCAGTTACTTACATACACATGTGCTATATCTACAGCAGGATATTTCTTTTTGACCTTTTTAATAATCCTATATTAGAACCACAGCTAAATCCCTAATGTATTCCATTTGAATGTTGAATGTAATCATCATTGTTATCAGTATAAGCACAGTAAAATGGGAACGAACAGAACAGCAAGCAGCTTCCTGTTCAGTTTTTACACTGGCTTTTTCATTGTATACAGCTCCAGCCAACTGTAAGTATAAATGGAAGAGGCAGAGATGAATAATACATATGAATTACCTTCATGCAGTCAGGGTCTTTTATTCACTCCCCTATGCTGCAGAGCCTCATTTTTAGTAACAATAAAAATAAAAGGCAAGGTGCATCGAAAAACCACAGGTACTGTGCATGAACAACTGTGCATCATGAGTTGCAGGAGCTTGTAAGGTGTTCTAGTACTTTCAGAAAGGTGTTAAATAATGTGTAACTGCAAACAACATGAATAATTAAAGTCTTTGTGCACTAAAAATTAGAGCTGCACAAATAGAGTAAATCCTGCCTTTTTAATGTTAATAAGCAAACTTGTATTTGTACTGTGAGAGGACGTCTGACGTCATTGCAAGTTGAAGTACTTTGTTCACATCCTTTCTTTTCTTTGCCACTGTTGTGAGAGTTATTTTGCTTGTCAGTGTTGAAACAGAAGATAAGGGTCCAATTCATAATCTAAACATAAACAAAAATACTGCTCAAACAGTAACAGACAAATCAGACATATCAGAGACATATTTTTATCTTGAAACTATGAAAGATTTACCCTGGCACTGTATTAATAGTGAAATGAAAGCGTTGTAGTAGGAATTACTCTGCAGTAGGTTGTAGACATTACACATATCTGTAGTAACACCACCACCTTAAAATAAAAAAAATATAACTATGGTTATTGAGGATGGAAAACACTAGACAGGGTCATTATGAGTCAGTTGAACTCATCTCATCAAACTCAACTAAAATCTTTTGAGTGATTATCATTTCCCCTTTTCCTGTCAACCCCTACTGTTTTTGCTTATGTTTTGTCTGGCCTGCGTGCTTATCACCGGGCATTGTAACACTGCTGAAAACTATTGTTTTTATGCTTTTTCTGAACAAATGTCTCAGCTAAATGCTTTAAAAAATAACTAGAATCTACAGGTACAATAGCAGCTCTGTGAGCCTGTGCACAGTAATGCTACCAAATAAAATATGTGCACAGTGACAATGCTAATATACTGACGTTTTGCAGGTATATCATGTTCGCCATCTCAGATTAGCATGTTAGCATGGTAACATTTGCAACTTGGCACTTACAAATTACAGCTGACTCATTCAAAATCTCAAATGTCATCCTTGTGGTGCTACCCGAAGATTCGGGGGAATCACCAAAGTCAGTAGGATTCATCCTCTTGGCGTCAGTGTCTGCACTAAATTTCATAGCAATGCATTCATCAGTTGTGAATATATTAAAGTGATGGACTGACAGGTCAAAATAACAACACAGCCATCCACAGAGACCGCACGGTTAAAGGCAATGCTCCACAGTGATTGTTTCAAACATCACAATGATAACACCAGATGATGAATACAACAATTCACTGAACGTGAATGCATGCAAAGGAACACGACAGCACTTGGGTCGCTGTGGTTTAAGTCCCCCATCAGAGTCAACAGGTTTTGATTGCAGTTACTGCAGTTGAGAATCATGTAACCTTTATGGGATGGTTTCAAAGGTGACTCATATGCAAGCTAATTTTAGAGGGCTTTGTGCTTTAGATTGGCCTTACATTTATAACACATGAAACACAGTGACAAAGACAAAGAATGAGGCACACTCAGCTGCTGTGCACTAGTTACGTGTTCAGTCTCAGTGGAAAAAAGCTGGAGAAAACAACTTTGAATTTAGAAGTGAGTTCTTGACATTAGTTACACTACTGCATGGTTCCTGACAGCTTAGTGGCTCTACTAAAAATTTTATGTAAACCTAACACCCCGTGTAGATTTTGAAATTTGATGATTGCAGTGGGTGTGCATGGCCTTTACTGACAGTAATTTAAGACAGATGTAAAAAGACCAACCCCCTACCACCGCTGCATATGGCAAGTAGAAGAGATGTGAAATGAAACTGCATTAATGCTAACTGAATAACTGAAGTGAAATAAAGACCCCC